GCACGGGTCACACTCAATAATTCGGGTCACACTTAATAATTCATTCTTCATGCTTCCAGCTTCTTGCATCTAATGGCTCATTTAATGTAGCGTCATGCTGAGTTTGAAGACGCAAAGTTCAGGGGATGTTGCAAGGTAAACACACGCTGCACCTTAGATTGACAAGCCCACCTTAACACATAAAATGTGCTAACTCCGCCCTCTCAGAGTAGGGACAGGACCCACACCCACAGGCCTGACAGGGTGAGGTCACAGTGATTGCCACCAAGGCGTCATGGTCACCATATTAAATGTTCACAGGGATTAGGTGATATGTGACCAGCTTTTCAGTGATAAATGCTTATGTATCGCCTTTGTTTAGGAGCAGGTGTGTCTCTGTTCCTTGGTATTGGGCTGTAATTTTGTAACTGTCTGCCCTGCCTTGCAAAACACCTGCTAGCTTCAGATAAATGTATCCGTTTTGCCTAAACAGTATGTCTTTGTGTTTAATAAGCAGCTATGCTGCCTGGATCCATTGACATGTTACCCATCATGCACTGCACAATAAGCAAGAAGGATTGGAACTTATACAGGAGCTCGAGGTTCAGGAAATGCTTGGGATTGACTTGGAATTGCTGCATGGAGAAATTCACTCACTGACTTATCATCTAACTTCCCATTTGCCAAAGCTGTAAATCTTTAAATATAAGTATAGTAAAGAAAAAAGAAAAAAAAGATGAATTTGGTCTGTTATTTATTGCTATTAATGTAAATTGTCAATCGTGTTCATTGTTCCATGCAAGTTAATTCTTTAGCGAAATGCTGACAGTTCAGTGCCTAGTTAATCTTCATTCTGTTACTCTGCGGAGTTGAGGAGATCTGCCTGTCGATAGCAGACCGGGCTTCCGCTGCAAGAGCTGAGGGGTTTAGAGAGCATTCACTGCCCAAGCACACTTACTAAATTTAATTTTAACTGTATTCTTGGTGCACTTAGACACCCAGATCGCATCCATTTCTAGAATAATTAAGTCTGCTGAGCTGTGGCCTTGTGACAATGGCGGATTAGTGTGCCGTCGGAGCCCCGTGTTCGAGTACTACGAGCGTTGCTCTGCACTGCCTGGATAAATGTCCGGTGATGGTGGGGACATAAACACAGTAAGACGTGTTTATTATTATGTTTTGGATGGTTAGCAGGGTTTCCAACTTTGGTCAGCTGGCTGGAGTGAGATTTTCAGTCTGAGACAGGTCTGCACCCATATTTACATATATGTAAGAGTTTTATTACCTTGTTAATAATCTGTAGGGTTTGCAGACCTACCCCCAACGCTTTGGGTGTAGCTAATTTTAGGTTTATAATGTAAATTTGCCATAAGGTTCCTGCGTGAATGTGACGTCAAAAGCGTGACAGTTGGCAACCCTGGGTTAGTATACGCTAATATGGTAAGGAAGGCTGGGGAAGATTATACGTGTCCCACAAAATGGTTTACCTTCATTTCACGCAGGTCCGGCCTTCTCCTGACCTTCCTGTAGTCAGAAGTACGCAGCATTTCTTCACAGATACATGATCAGTTTCATTTCCTCACCACGCCGATAAGAGCGGTCACCACCGATTGCCCTAAACGATAAATGGAAGCCGAAGCAGTTCCTCATTATAGACACCAGATGGTGCTGTGTAGTCACGATAGCTGACTGCTGTACCTCCGCCGTTGACTTGGCACAGTTGCGTGATGTACCCATTTACGTGTTTTTATGTCTTTACTGAACCTCTGTAGCATCCATATATATGAAATGGCTCTGATTAGTTATCCTTAAGGCTGTCTCTGCTTGTGTGTGTGGGGGGGGGGGTTTAATGGAGGGGTGACTGATGACCTGGCCAGTGGCTTGTTGTCTTGGCACATCGGTGAGCCTGTTTGCGGGGATCGGGTTTTTTGTTTCTGGCCAGCATGAAGTGGAGGATGACATCCGAGACGGCAGGTTCTGGGGCGTTCTGTTTCAGAGATGTTAGCACCTGAGCATCACCCCACCCCCTCTCCCTGGGGATCTGAACATGTCTGTTGCATGACTGGTATTTGGGCCACAGTTCAAGAACCAGGTGATCCAAGAGTATTCATTTCAGATGCCTCTCGCGTGTTGAGACTGTCCCATGGATCTCTGAGCAACGTGGGGCTCTGCGTTTTTAAGCGGAATGATGGGGGTGTATTTGCATTTGTGTGATTTGTCAGGCATGGTTACTTTTCAGGCTTGGTCGTTCCACACATTATGTTGTAGCCTTAGAAAGTTTGCATTTTCCTGTCAGTGGATCAAGACACAAATCCTCTGGGGATTGCAAAATACCAAAACTGGAACTAGATACAATGTGCGGACGTGTGCATTGTATTCAGTCCATAAATTCCTACTCGTAAAAATCTGTACTGTCAGCA